TGCCGCCCCACATGCACCGCCCCCCATATGTCCACTATCTATTAAAAAAAAAAAAAAATAAATAAATAATATAATAATAATAAAATAATTTATTTACTGGCCAATTGGCCAATTTGTTAGCCTTTGCTTTCAGTATAAATAGAGGGGCTCGGCAGAAGAGAAAGACGCACAAAAGAAGAAGAGAAAAATAGAGGAAAGAAAGAGAAAGGAAAGAAAAAATAGATTTATGTCCAAATATCGGATATAAAAATATCAAAAGAGAGAAACAAATGATATTTTTATTTGTTTTAAGATATCCCTTTTATTTTTAAGTGCTCAATTCTCGACTCCGTTCTTGTTCGTCGGAGCTCGTAAATCTGGTGTGCTACAGATTTAGAGACGTTTGCCGTTGTATCTTTGGGGAAGTTACGCCTTAACCGTTAGCAGCCACACGGGGCGTATTCTTCTTGCGGAAAGAGTTTTACTCGCCTCGGCTAAAATCTTTCCGTTTTTCAGTTGTATTTTATTTTTCAGTTCAATTGTAATTTTCTGTTTTTAGATTATTTGTAAGAACTGAATTACATATCAGTTCATAGGATTCCCGTGTAATTTTGACACCAATTATCCTACAATCGCAAGAAAATTATCCTACAATTGTAGTGATTGGCTTCGCAACATGGGCTTTAATCTCTCAAAGCAACTCGAAGACTACTTTCCGACTTTCAAAATCGAGCCCCTCTCGGGTTTCGTACGCAATAACATGGCCACGGCCCGATGGGTTCGGTCAAGAATAAACTTCACAACGATATAGTTCATTTGGAGATCTATGTGCATGGCTCCGATGCACGAGTCCCGATTGGTCGGGCAAATCCGGAATTGCCCTTCACGAGGGTTTCAGTAATGTGAGCTTGGACACTCCGTGGGCTCGTGAGGACTACATCGAGTCGAAGGTGCTCGGGTGTGACGTGACGTTCAAAGGTTGTTACAATGATAATTACGCGATCACGGCCGAGTGCAAGAATGTGACGGTCGAGATCGAGCGTGACCGTGCGAAAAAACTAAACACAAAGAGATATTTCACTAACTAGTAATTAGTGTAGGATTGGTTTTGGACTTTTTTTTTTTTAACTTTTTATTTTGGCACGTACGTAGTTTTGAATTTGATCGGATTCAGAAATTATCTGAATATTTGTTATTGTTATATATTTATGTCAAAATTTTTAGTAATTTTATTATGTCGTTATTGCATAAGTACATATTATGATATTATTCGATTGGATTGGATATAAATATTTATTTTAATAATTTAACTGATAGTGAATTTTAATTAAAGTAAATAAAGTTATAATATAATACGGTCTAATTATTTGGAATTTTAATTAGAAACATTTTTTTTTATTTGAATTTTTTTGGTTAGGAATTTGATAATTTTTTTTTTTTATTTACCGTACGGACTACGTTTTGCATCAATCCACTCATTTTTTTTTCATTGTTTTTTGGTTAGGAATTTGATAATTTTGTCTGCATTACATGCTATATTTACCGTACGTACGGAGTATAACGTGCATTGGGATTAATTTCCATCAAACTCAATATATAAGTCGAAATGAGGTTCCATTCTAAAATTAAATGACAATAGAAGAAGCATGCCACCAAATTTATATATTTGACTTTGGAACATTTTAATTTTCCTATGTGGAATTGAAATTACACACCCCCGAAACCTATAACTTATCCTCTAATATCTATATATTGGTCACATGCACCAAACAATTCTATTTGTCGTACGTTAATGTTGATAAACTAACATAATATTTGAATAATTATTACTGATTTAAGAACAATTGGAATTAAGTATTAATAAAACTAGAGAGGAATAACAGCAGCTATTGAACAATTAATTAGATACCTAATTGGATAATAATTCTTTTCAATTTAAATAAAAAGTGTTTGAAAAAATTGAAACCCTATTACAAGGAGGAATTAATTGTAGTCCCATGATTAATAGGTAATTAATTAACTTACATAATTCAACCAAACCGCCACATATATAATTATATATATATATACACCAAACTCCAAACTATGGCTAATTACACAATTTTTCTCAATAATGGCAAAAACTGCTAGTCAACGAAATCCTCCCCAAATCTTCTACGACCAAAGCTGGGCAGAGTTCTGCTGCACGCTGATAATGCTGATTGCGATGGCAATCTTAGTAGTATGGGCTATAATATACGAAATTAAACAACTCAGCAAGAAGACTTCCTTCCCGACTTTCATAATCGAGACCCTCTCGGTTTCCGTGCCCAATAACACGGCCACGGCTCGATGGGACTTAGGGTTTTCGGTCGAGAAGCTTCACAACGGTAGCTCGGTTGGAGATCTAAGTGCATGGCTCCGAGGCACGACTCCCGACTGGTCGGGAAAATCCGGGATTGCCCTTCATGAGGGTTTTGGTAACGTGAGCTTCGACACGCCGTGGGCCCATGAGGACTACATCGAGTCGAAGGTGCTCGGGTGTGACGTGACGTTCAAAGGTTACTACGATGATAATTACGTGATCACGGCCGAGTGCAAGAATGTGACGGTCGAGATCGAGCGTGACCGTGGGATCATGATCGGAGGGCCCAAATCGTGTGGAAAAACTGAACACAAAAAGATATTTCACTAACTAGTAATTAGTGTTAGGATTAGTATTAGATTTTATTTTTATTTTATTTTATTTTATTTTTTACTTTTTCTTTTGGAACGTACAATAGCATTGAATTCGATCGGATTAAGAAATTATCTGAATTTGTTATATATTTATGTCAATTTTTAGTAATTTTACTATGGTGTTATTGCATAATTAGGAGTACATATTATTACATTGGAATATTGGATATATATATATGTTGCAATTAATTTTGTACGAGCTCGTATAATAATATCACGATGATGTGGGCCTAATTAAACTGACAATCAATTTCAATTAAAATAAATATATATTTAGTTTAATAATTATTTGTTAGGATAATATTACAGGGTAAATTGCACCAAATTCCCCTGTAATATACTAAATCTACGTGTTATCCCCTCTAATTTAAAAAATGCGTCAAACCCCTCCTATTGTACTGTGGCATGAGTGAAACACCCTAAACCGTCTAAGATGACGGAAGTGGTGTGCACGCGCGTGCTGTGCGACTTTTTCTTCATTTTTTTACCCCAAAGTCAAGGAATTTACTTTTTTACCTTTAAAATCAACCATTTAAATGTTGAGTGGTCTTCTTCCCCAAATTTTTACCCTAAAATCCCGCCGCCACCCATCCCCGCCGCCATGTCGCCGCTGCATACCCGGCCCAAACCGTTCCTCTTCCCGTAGACCCATTCCAGATTCCTCTTTAATATAAATTTATTTGGTTAATTAATTAAATACATTTGAAGAGGCTGGTGCAGATGGAGGGCAAAACAGGAAGCACAAGCAGTGGAAGTAGATAAGAAAACGAAGGTGAAAATAAGGCAAATATTTCAATAAACTGGTGGAGTAATTTGGACAATCATAAAACATCATCTGGATCACGCTCATGTTCTATATTTTTGGACCCATTCCGGATTCCACTTCAAGCTGAACAATTCTCAGACATGGCTGCTATACGCCTCTTCCCCCATAGACTTGTTAAGCTCGGACGTGAACACCATTATTTTTACATATTTTTCCGGTTTGATTCGAATAGTTGCTCTTCTTAACGACGACCCGACATCCGAATCCGTTCTTGATCGGTTCAGCTCCTGCTATCCGGTCAGCGGCGAGGCCCTTTTTGACAGACCTTTCGAAATTGGGGTGCTGAAATTGGGATTTTTTGGAGAATCTGGGAGAGAGAGAAGAGAGAGAGAGAATTTCATAAGTTAGAAATGATTCCAATTTCAGATGGGTGTGAATTCTCAACTAACAAGGGCATGACGGGATTTTCACCAAAAATTTAACGGTGAGACATAAGTTGAGGAACGTATGCTGACCAAAGTACAATAGAAGGGATTTTGACGCATTTTTTAAATTAGAAGGGATAACGCGCAGATTTAATATATTAAAAGTGAATTTGGTACAATTTATCCTAATATTATACGGTCTAATTATTTGGAATTTTAATTAGAAACATTTTTTTATTTGAATTGTTTTTCGTTAGGAATTTGATAATTTTTTTTTTTTTTTTATATTTACCGTACGGAGTACGTTTTGCATCAATCCACTCATTTTATTCCTCATTTTTATCCAATAAAATAGATTATAATAAAGCTACACGATTTTTTGATTTACAAGTTACACAACCAATTTCCAGTCTCCATTTTCGAAATCTTGAAGCAGCAGCTCGTGAAGAATCTCAAAGAGGGTCTTTATCTTTAACAATGGCTGCAAATATAGGGATTATGGATAGCGCTTACTTCGTGGGGAGGAATGAGATTCTTTCATGGATTAACGATAGGCTTCAACTTAATCTCACTCGGATTGAAGAGGTAAACGGACATGGCGATTGGATTTTGTTGTTGTCCCAATTTTTGTATCTACTTTTTTATTGGTATTTCTGGGTT